AAGCAACTCACTCATAAAGAGCGATAAAGAGTACGAGAGTTTTGAAATATTTAAATGATATTTTTATTTAATTAAATGATATGCGCTTTGTTGTTTTACAAATTTCATAAATATCATTTCTGATAGACGCATTTAAATAAACTCACAACGTATATTTTATATATAAATATGTATTATATACGAAGCGATACATTTTTAAGCATACGGTATCAGTAGAATACTAAACTCTATAAAGTAAATGAAATTTACGATAGGTGCGATAAGGCTCTGCTATAGTTTAATGTATGGTAATGATTTCCGTAATTAGATTTATTTGGTTTTCTAATTTATTCCGGTTACGAGCTATCGCGATGCATTTATACATTTTACAGCGTCAGACGACAAAACAGACAAATTTAACAGTCAAAGGCCTCCAAATTTAATTCACTTTATTCATATATTTATCCGTAAATATATATTTAAGACAATCTCTGAGTTTGTTATACGGATTTTAAAATTTTATCTAATAATTTTATTATTAATTCTTCGGCACTCCTTATCCTATTATTGTTAATTGCAATTTCATAGTTAACAACGAAAATTCGTGGTACACTTAATCGATTGTTAAAGTCATGCCTAGAAGCATATAGATTTAAAAGGAATTATAATAAAAAAGATAATTTTACGAACAAAAAAATTGGGAATGAGAGAAGAATTTAATTTAAACACATACCCTTTAATTGTAATTAGACAAGTAAGAACATTATAGTCGGACAAGGCCGATCATTAAATACCCCACAACACATTATCTAACACAACTCTTATTTTTTATTATAGAACACAAAAATGATATCTTGTTTCTATATAAAGGCATATTTTTTAAAGAGCGCATTTATGGGGAAGCGGGTTCAAAACGAAACCTAATGTAGTATAAGTTTAATCCAAAGATAGGTCTAGAGGGTTCAAATTTTGTAGAGTTCATTTGTGCTTGCAATCAATTTTAGTGAAAATTCTTATTAGGATAAGATCCGCGAAATAAGCCTAGATTGTCCAAATTTGGTACAGTTAGTGTTTTTATATTAAATTATGATTTGATTTTCATCACGAGCATTAAAATGCGGACCTTTTTGTCATATGAACTTCAGTTTTCGTTATATGCGTGAGGGTTCAAAAAATTGCCCCAGCCGGTCCAAAGGTTTCGTATCAATTCAGAATGCCGAAATACTACTACTTAGCCAGTTTTGCCGTGAAATTTTGAAAATTGCAATGTTTTTCCCATATAACGACTTTTCAAAAGAGGGCTCCAACTTTTCGTAGACTGAAACCATTTTCAATAGTCTTCGTTCTTGCGCCACAGCGCTTCACTGCATCCAATTTCATCAAAATATCTCAGGAACTGAAGTCAATAGCTTGAACACCAATCTACATGAACAGACACGATGATCAGAGGGGCAGAAAGACACACAGGCTTACTTCACTTCAGATTATGGTTCCGAATCGGTCGATAGTGGGTCTATTTTAAGCCATTCGCCCGCATAAACTTAATTTACCCTGTATCACAAGCGATGTAAGGTGCAGTGAGTTAAAACGTTGTATGACAAGGCCGGCCATTGCAATCCAATTCAGGCGATTGATTACATTACGCTGGAGAAGGCCTATAAGCCTATAAGCCGATTCAAATTTAGTAAAGTTACTTTTCTTATCATTTTTCACTTATTTTCGTCAAAAAGTGCAAAAAATTGGATTTTACTGAGCAAAACTCCATACGTACCAGCTTAACATAAATTCATATGTGAAGACAGATATGTTTAGACTCAACTTGTCAACCTAATCGACTGCAAGTTAAGACTTAATGACGAAAGATATGCAAAAGACGATCGATCTCATCTCAAATCAATTTTTCACATGCTAACTATATAAGGAATGGGCATAGAAATGTATGCTATTTGTCTTCCTTGGGCCAAAACAAAGACATGTGAACGGATATCGGGCAAACAGATATAGTTATATCAATTTAGAATCATTGTCATTGTTCATTCTCTCTATTATATAAATTCGCCTAAACGTAACATATATGTCCGTAACATAAATATTATGCGCGGGAAACTTTGTCACATTCATAAGAAAAAACTTCGCCCATTTTATTTCGCTATAACTATTCTGTCTAAGCAACTTGGGCTTTTTATTACGAATTCGTATTCGTGCATTCAATACCACGCGTATTATTTGAAAGTGATTTTGCTATGCTTCAAAGACCTCAATGTAAACCGTTGCAATCATTTTACGAAACATTTGCAAAAACTGCATTCACCACGAAACTAATTTTCACGAGACTTTTAAACGTTTTTCGGGGTCAAAACAAAAAATATTAGATTCTGTTAAGTAATTTATATTCACTTTGGAGTATTACACATTATTGCACGATGCCCGTCAACTCAAATCGATCTATGAGAAATGAAAACACTATCGTTCGACAAAAGCGATCATTGAATACTCTACGTCTACGTCTACGTCTACGTCTACGTTCAATTAATACAATTCTTCAGTTATCTTCGCGATAAAGTATCAAAGAATTGCATCTTGTATAAAGGTAGGCACACTGTTCGCAGGAGGCATTTTATGAACTGATATTGGCCATCGAATGATGGGAATATACTTTTTTTCTTTTTTCATAACGTAAGTAACGCCCAAAAGGAAGCTGCAGAGACGCTATAAAGTATATGTACCCTTGATTAGCGTGAAACTCCGAATTGATTTAGCCATGTTTGTCCTTACGTATGGTGTTTGTTGTTGGCATTCTCCTGGTCCACTTAAAATGTGGGAGAGATATTGAAAGTTCTTGTACGTAAATTGGTATTGAAAATGGGTGAAATTAATCGGACCAGAAGCCTACAGTGAAGTGTAAACTGAACGCAAATCCGTTTTTCTGAATAAAAATTTATGGGTTTTAGCTCGTTGCTCAGAAATTATAAAAGTTTGAAGACCAAAATTTTCTACGTTCACTTTGCGAACCAATCTACTCTTTACGTGCAAAAAGGGGCAAGGCTGTGGGCTATGCCCACACAAGCATACTAGTGATTTAATTTTCTTTTCTTTACTTTTTGGAGGTTTTGCGCTTATTTATCACAGGGATATATTATATTAAGATATATTATCTGCGTAAAGTTGGGTTAATATCCCGCGACCTGGTGGATTAATGTTTTGTTAATCATACACCGGCGATATGGGTATTAAATAAAAGAATTTGGTGAGTAGAAAGGCATGGTGATGGGTATGCGAGGCTTGAGCTTAGCCGAATATAATTTCCTTACTTGTTTTTTTTTTACATATTTTCAAAATATTTGGTATACTAAGATGTTTTGGCTCATAGGTGAACGCTATTGAAAATTGCTTGGTTCAAATCATTTTTACGACCCCATCCATATAGGATGCCATTCGAATTTTCAAAAAGAGGATTTACAAAAAATTTGCATTGGTACCATTGTTAAATCACCTCCTCTTCCGCATGAGAATCGATACCTTTCACGGCGGAAAGTTGTAATTTTTTAAAAATAAAGATAACCTGTACCAAGTTTGCTTCACGTACTTCTTTTTGGATCTTTCCTCATATACATGTTCTGATGAAAAATATACTTTAATATGGTAGTGAAGTCAAAATTTTAGTATATGAAAAATGACAGGATCTTTGAGATGAAAATTAACTTTACAAATGCTTCCGTGAAATCTTGTATGTCTTTACATGGAAAAAAGGTATAACTTTTGATATTTTATTATCAAAATAAGTTGAATTGTATGTTAGATAAAGTGGTATAGTGGTAGGTAGGTTGAGTGATCGGCCCTGCACGATTGTAATGTTTGTACACCTAGTTCGTTTTTTACATAAGTTTTTTTTTTTTTTTACACGAAAAAAGCGAAACGAAACACGAATTGTTTTTAATGCATTTATCTGAGGAATTTTTTTTTTTCCTCCAGTTAGAATACGTCGAATGTATTCATCATATGCATCGTTCACAAGGAGTAAAGACGTTATGTATTTTTTACGCAAATTTGTTTGGTTGTTCAAAATATAATTTATTTTTTATAATTTAAAACGTGTAAGCACGACAGAAATGCTTAATTAAACCCTAATAAGAATATTTTTTATTCCACTTTTCAATTGCCTTTTTAGGTGTGCAAACAATCTACTATCTGTCCATTTAGTCAATATTTTTTTTTACACGAATTTTTTGAGAATGTATCTACTATCGTGTAAAAAGAGAATTCGGTGTACTTGCTTTACATTACGCTTTTAGATTATCTATACACATCTCAGCGAATTTTTGGTTGTTGATTTTCTGAATAGAAGAAGAAGAAGCAGATTACCTATGTCAAGTTCTAGATTAAATTTAATATCCATGAAGATTTATCAGATTTATTATTAAAACGCGCGTGGACGCGTTTACAAGCTGATTACGATTATTTTTGTTTTCCCCTACCTTTAATATGGCTATAATACAAGTTTGTTTCAATCACGACCGCATATAGACTCGGTTTAGTATCTAGCGACAGTTGGAAATACGTAAACTCTGGCGATATGTTCATGTGTATTATGGTATATTGGCAATTGAGTCGATTCCTCGATGAATAATATAATCGCATTAAATTGCTAGCAGGACAAAATTCATTGACTTGTTTCACGTTATTTATTATTTATGCATTTAATCAATAATCGCACATTTATATATATATATATATATATATATATATATATATATATAAATTTATAACACGAATATTTGAAAATGACTAAAAAATCTTGCCTCAATATTACTTAACCTATCCATTAGTTAACGTGTAGATGTTTACATAAAAACCGTAGAATCATAAGGATGCGAAGAGAATTCGTCCCTGGCCAGCATAAAGGCATTTCTAAATGCACCCTTGAACGCCATTAATCATGCAGTCATAATGGCTCTAATAGTGAGTACATTTAAGTCCTTCATGTAAAGAAATTTTTCAGTATTATTTCCATAAATAGTTACCTTAAATTGAACAAACTTTAGGTCCCAGTGTGATCTAATTGCTGTTAGAATTTGCTTAGCTCCTTCAATAACATCGTTTTCATTTATACAAACAGGAACATAAGATACGCAATCGGTTTCTGTTACTGCTGTTACCGGCGAAGATGGGATCGTTGAGCGATCGTCACCGTTATTGTTGACGCAAACGCCATTACTGGATAAGGGAAGATTTGAATTATAAACGTTTATATCAATCGGTTGTGAGGAAGCAACACCATATGGAATTTCATCATAGCCATTTATTTCTGTTTCAGAGCCCATTATAAATCGCATGGATTGATGCTAATTTGTTGTAGTTGTTCTTGTTTACCAATATTTTTTTAAATTATTTTATTTATTTATTTATTTTTTTTGTATTGTTTTCGTTTACTAAATCAAATCGCAATATTGATATTATGCGGATTTGTTTATTTTTGAATTTTTCTTACCGCGATGAGACACACACACACACCTCCTAATTTAAGTATTTATTGTTTACACGCCTTTTCAGTTAATAAAAACTTGGTTGTATACAAAAATATTTATATGCTGTCAATGCGACATGAGCGTATTGGCAAAAAAAAAAATATATAAATAAAATGAAAAAAAGAAAAGAAAAAATTCATCAAATAATTGTGATATGTTTTAATGTAGAAAACAAAAAGCCAAGTTAACACACGCAAAATTGCGCAGAATCTTTTTCTTTCAAGCGTTTCGTTCTATGTTTTCTCCACGCTGTTACAAGCAATCTATTTCTAACCAATCTATTTTTATCGATTTTTCATCTATTAATTTTATTGTAGTTTTTCAGGCTTTTAAAATTTTTTTTTTTTTTAATTTAAAAATCAATTTTGTTCGTATGTCTGAAGATGGGAAAAAGTTTATATTTATTAAATTCTTCGTGTTTTCTTTTATAATATATTTTTTATTGAAAAAGTTTCGTTAACAAAATAATGCCGCCAAGAAGAAATCCACTCGAAAACCGTTTAATAACATAATTAATAGTCTGTGTTTCTCGAAGTAAATGTCAGTATACAAACATCTCGATTTATTAGAGTTCAATTACTCTTCTTTTTTTTTTTGTGTTAAAAGCTCAAACATCCATATTTATTATTGATCGGCAATCTCGTTGTTTTATTTATCAAATTTTTCACCTCACAAATTTCTTATTCAATTCTTTTTTATTTTGTTTTATAAATGTAATTTTACATATTTTCACAATTGTATATGCAGTATATCATTTAAGGCATAAATTATACCCGTTATACATGGCAGACGCAAGTATTATTTCCATTTAACAATTCTATTTTATTTTCAGCTATAATCATATAGCCGCAGCTTATATATACCCGGTCTTGTTTTATAAATATATAAGTTAAGAGCATTAAAAACGTAATGGAGGAGGCACGGTATTTTGCGCAATTTTATGAAAGAGTATTTTTACGAAGAGAACGAAGTACGTGTCGTTTAATAACTGAGCAAATTAACCATATTGACTCTCTATTTTATAGTACGATTATTCACTCTTTATTATGACATTTACTGCATTTTACTGTTTACGATAAGTGTGTCAATACACATTGAATATCTTGAACATTTTCGGGCTTTTGGTGGCTTTCAGGGCTTAATTGAAATAAATTAAAAACAATCATAGTGGATTGATAAACCGAGACGTTATTCCTATTTTCGAGTTGGGATTTCAACTTTATTGGAATCGACAAATCATATGGTTGTGCATGTGTACATACAAATGAAACAAAAAGTGAAAGTTTCTTTTAAAATTTAAGGTTATTTATATAGTTTATCTTATAACTAGTACACAAAAGCATTCTAGATGATATTAAAAAATTTAAGATTAATAAAATTGTTGTTGGAATTATAGATCTCTTTAAAGGTTTTTCTCGAAGAGTCTACAACAAACCAAGAAAAAAGAAAAAAAAACTTCAGACTTAAAAAGTGCTGCCCAATTTTCATATAAAAAAAAACGTGCACAACTTGCTACGAAGAAAAGTAGAAATAAAATTCCTTTTAAAATCTAAAAATGATATTTAAAATTTTATTATTAAATTATTTCAAATTTTATCCCACATTATGTTATTTTGAATTGATTTTGTACAGTTATTTTATTTTTATTCATCTTATTCTTCTTCTATCAATAATCAAGAAGCGCAAATTCGCTCTGGCACTACATCAAGCCAGTTAAATCGTCTAATCAAGTTAACGGCTTTGTGCAAATCTATGGAGTTAGCGAATTGCGTTAAGAATTTCTTGCCAATTAAATTTTTTCTTTAATTTCTTCTTTTTAAAGAAACACAAGCGCCATCGCAAAAAAGAATCGGGAGGGGATATTACTTACATGTTCTCGACCTAGGTCAGTCTCTCCTAACAGTACATCCAACGCTACTAATGCATTTGCAAACGCAAGGAAGTAGTGGAAGAACGCTTGTGGACGAAATCGGTATTAGAAAGTGATACCGATAGGGTTCTAGCTGTCAACGATATACAAGATAAAGTCAGGGTTTGTTTCATGAAACATAAACATGATTCGGTCGCTTTTTCGTCTGACCGTACTCGACTGCCTTCGTATCGAGTTGGGCGTCTGATTCATATCAGTCGTAATATTTTCGGTGTATGTAGAAAAAAATAATGCAAAGGAGAAGAAAAGTTAGTAAATAAGCAAAAAAAAAAGAATAAATAAATAAATAAAATCTACTAAACGAACAAAGTTTAATAAATTGAGCTAAATATATTGAATATGTTCAACTAAATTTTTCCATTCTTCTTTTGTTAATGGCTAGCTTGAAATTTACAATTTTTATATGAAATGTGCCTCTGCCTCTGTACACTGCTTAAACAGGCTCTAAATATAATAATAATTCCTTCATACTTTTTAAATAGTTTCTAGTAATCACACAATTCCACACTTTGTCGTTCACACAAATCTTTTTCATATGACTCTCATATGCTTTATATGCTATCATGTATAATCAAGGCAAATTTTCATTAATAATTGCTCGATAACGAGACTTACCAATCGATCATGGAAATTCGTTATCCAACTAGCTCAATAAGGAAAACCTTAAGCTGATCCCAGGACGGTACAAAACTGATTATAGAGGTCTCATGAAGACAACCTGGTTGGACCTAAGCCTCGAACATGCGTTACTTGTACTAAGTTTCAATTTTATTCAGCTTACAAAATGTATAAAGTAGCGAAATTCCACATTACTGTTTGGACATAACTTCTGGATATCACTTTTTTATGAATTGTTGACTCTTTCTTCTTAAATGGAAAAATATCTTGCCTTCTTGCGCGAATGCGTTCCACTGCTTAAATTTTATTCTTTGCAGTTCACCCATGCGAAAGTCCGCCGTAGAAGTTAAACCATAGCTCTCGTATTTTTACTTCGTCATTCTCGTTACCCTCGTTTATCATCGACTTTGCTTTTCTTACACATGATTTGCCTTCGACAGGCTGCCTACAACCTATATTGTTCTTAATTGCAACTTGGGTTTTATTCTCCACCTCAATATGTGTGCGATTCATTTCTTAAATATGTTTTTAAAAGAAATCATTGGCCAAAAAACAAAAAAAAAAAAGAAATGTATGTCAGTAAAACAACTCACAGTTGAAATCATATAAGAAGAATTACCAGTTTCGTCTTAAATTTGCATAGTGAGAAATCCTTATCTTAAATCTTCTTGATTAATTTAACAAATTTCAGTTTTTAATTAACGAGCTAGGGAAACCCATCTTTTTAATTCATTGTCAATTATATAAATATGTTATTTTTTCTTTTTTCTTCCTTAATAAAATTGTCCTTTTGTCATGCAAAACTGTCTTTACACAGCGTTTACAAGTTAAGTTTAATTAACCATTTAAATAAATGATCCACAGCAGATAGGATGCAATTACATTTGTTTTCATCAAAAAAAAAAAAAAAATTTCACTTGCGTTCGGACTGGAATACCCGAGAGTTGACTGTTGTAACGTACACTTTCCGATGTCGAATCAATAAAAAAGTTAATATTGAAAATGATAGTGGAAATTGAACATTGAAAAATTGATGAAAATTAAATTAATATTTTAATACTACCACTATAAACTATGCATTCAAAAATGCTACGGAGGAGGGGGAAGGTGAATCTAATAAGGACGGGGGCGATTGCCAGAGTTGTTGCGCATGGGACCGCCACTGTTGCCGCCGAAATCTCGACGACCACCACGATCGCCGCCGCCACCACCCCCACGACCGCCACCACCGCCGCCGCCACCGCCGAAACGATTGCCGCCACCGTAACCACCGCCGCCACCTCGATTATCTCTGTTATAGCCGCCACGGTCACCTCCACCGTACCCACCAGGAGGACCACCGCCTCCTCGATTATTACCGCCGTCATCGCCTTTAGGTGTTTTGCAGCGATTACATTCATTGCGCCAAGCAAAATTGGTGTTATTACAGCTGCTGCATTTCCAATCACCTTCACGGGGAGCACCACCGCCGCCGCCACCTCCTCCGCCTCCGCCACCACCACCACCGCCCATACGTAAACGACCTCCACGATCTCCGCCACCACCGCCGCCGCCACCACCACCACCGCTACGTCCTGAATCATAATCATGACGACCCGACCCACCGGTACCTTCGCCTCCACTGCCACTATTACGGTCAAAACGGCTACCACCGCGGTCTCCTCCACCGCCACCCATTCCACCTCCCATACCACCGCGACCACGGCCACCTCCACCACCACCACCACCGCCGCCGCCGCCGCCACCACCACCACGACCACCTTTACTCCAGTTATTTTGTCTCTGAGCTAAAGAGACCTTAATAATACAACCATTAAAATCGCGTCCATCAAACCAAGCTATGGCCGATTGTGCTGCATTGATGTCGTCATATGTAACAGTAGCTTCACCTTTGGATAGACCAGTGTCTTTGTGGCGATACAGCCAAATTTTTGGTTTCATAGTGCGTTTGTCTTTCTGAAATGAAAAAACGAAAAAAAAAGAAGAAAATATATAAAATAAATTAGGAAAATTATATGCGCCAGACACCGTGCCTCTTATATTCACCAAATTCATCTTCACCTTATCCGAATATAATTAATAAAGCCAATTATTTTTCATTTTCATTTTGTATAATCCGGGAGTTTTTTAATTATTATACTTATTCGAAATATAGACTAACTAATCTTTCAGGTTTTTCCATAATGTTTTATTTTTTCTCTGTGTATTAACAAATCAGTTTAAAGCGTCTTTAACTGAGAAGATAGCAATTTTTTTCATTGTCCCTTTTTTTCATGAATACTGAAGGATTCACATCATTCCAGTTGGAAGATTTATTGCAAAATGACGTAAATGCTATATTATTGTATATAACGGTTCAAATATTATCTTCTACCTAACCCCAAAAGAATTTTTTTTGCTGCGAAATGTACAGTTCGGAAATTGTTTGATCGATACTTTACGAGAAATCTATCAGTGAAGCCATCTACTGAAAAAATAATGGATTTCTTTTTCCCCAAACTAATATATGATTACTTTTTTTTATCGTTGCATGTGTTATTGTAATTATGAGTAATGGGCGAAAAAGGCAATATTTTGTTTTTCCTTATTACATGTTTGTCCTTTAGTTGATACGGTTGGATTTCAATACCAACCAAGCGGACAAGAGCTTCTAATACCGGTAATGGATATGATAAACATTCTCATCTGTTCTTATATCATAATAAATAATATTTATAATATACCTTAATAATACCAATTGCTCCGAAATGAGTTTCAATATCCATTTCAGTTGCCCCGGGATCCATGCCTGACACAAATATTGTGTCTTCTTGAGTAATCATATCGCCGCCGCCTCCATAACCGCCTGCAATATTAAATATACATTAGCAGCTTTCTTTTTAACTTTTTACTGTAAGTGAATTTAAAACTAAATGAAAATAAACTAAAATTAAAAAAAAAAAATATGTATAAACATACTTTTTTTTTATTTTTTATTTTTTTTTAACAATCGAATGTAAGCTAATTAAAAAAACGCTTTCGCTTTCTAATGACTCATCGAAGCCCTTGAGAAATATTACTGAGCCCAATAACATAATTATTTACTTTTGTTTACCGCTGAAGTTAAACCCTTCTTTTATTTTTTTTTTTTTTATTATACACTCCGATATGAAAACCATGATTTTTTGCTTGAACCAAATTATTTTCTTTAAACCATAACCACCTTTGATCAGTTGAAAATATTATTGATTTGCACGTTGTACCTTACAATAATAATAACAATGATAATAATTAACAATAATAAAAAGGGAACGCTTGGCAAGTGGAATCAACCTTCTCAAATATATAATAAAATAGACGCCTTTTCAAGTATGTATTTTCCAAGAATAACCAAAAACTTATGTACCGGAGATTTACGTATATATAAAGAAAAGATTGCTTGTATGGATTACCAAAGTTCACAAATGCATGATAACGTCCGTCGTTGACGAAAACCTCTTAAATGCAATCACTCACTATATATATATATATATATATATGATGCATGAAAATACTTTCTTTTGTAGATATATATATATATTTTTTTTACCATATTTTTAGATAAGTGATCAAAAACCTTTGAAATTTGAGAAGATTGCACATATTAACACATGTAGTAAGGGCTGCAAATGTTCATCACTCGTACCATATATTATAATCCTACTAGCACTACGCTAATATCCATAAATAAGAGATTGATTGTAGAGATTATTATTGTGCTGTTCTTTGTTCAGGGAAGAATTATATCGAACTTACAGTAAAAGGAACACTTGGTTTTCTCACATACAGGCTTATTTAATTACTGAATTTATATTACAAAAAATATGTCAGTATAGAAGAATATATAGCTGGAAAAACTTTTGCCATCTTGGTTAACTCTTTAATTCGCAGGAGATCTAAGATTACAAAAAAAAAAAATCCTCTTTTGTTGTTTTCATAGTACTTAACGCTAAAATTCTAATTTCGAAAACACACTTCTTCTTAGCAATTCCATCCATCCTTACTTCGATCATTAAATCAAATTTTTCATTTTATTCTTCTACACTTGGAGCAGTTATAGCGAATAAGCCGCCTTTTTACTTCAATTTCATTGCAAATGGATGGATGGTACCGTCCTAAAATTCGTCATTTTGCCGAACAATCAATCAATTTTATTCTTCTTCCTATCAACATAAAATTATATGTTAAGGTGTTTTCTTTCTTTTTTCTTTCTCTATATGTGTGTATATATATTGTATATATATATACAGTTTACGATGAAATTATATCGGTTCAGTTGACGTAGAAAAACTTTCCTTCGCATTCGCATACATTGAACGCATTAACATTAATGGGGAACACACATTGCAAGCAAAAATCTTTTCACTTTTTTTCTTTTTCAATTCTCTTAATTCTGTAAGGGCTGATTTGACTGAAGGACTGAAAATCCATTCCTCCCAAATATCAATTTTAAATGTTTTACAGTCATTTGATACGAATATGAATCTCAAGTCTTATTTTATTTTGTTTGAAGTAACTATAAATCCTTAAAGACCTATGAGCTAATTACATAGACACAACTATAACATAAGTCAGCTAGATGGCAAATAACGTAATCATCATAATCTAAAAACTCATCAATCACCAATCATCAATTTTAACCAGCGATAATATACACATTACGAGTTTAGATGTACAGTCAGTTTTTTCATTTAGTCATTGAAGAATTCTACCAACACGAACAATAAATGACCTTTTGACAGATGAGTTAGACAAACTAAGATGAAAGGATTTCTATTCGATCTAGAGAACTCTACAGGCGTTTCAATTAAAAGGCTTGGGAATCGAGATTGAATGATTTTGTCGAGGTAGAAAGAAACAGGAAAGGAGAATTTCAAGAATGCATAAAGGAAGGAGGCGATATGGTCTCGAAGCTTAATATTATAAACAAAACGTGTTATACCGTTTACAGTACATTGTACATCCGGAAGAGACTTCAATATAACAGTTAACATGCATCATAAGGAGCGACTGTGCAATGTCGCGGTTAACCTGCAGAGGCGGTTATAGGTTTAGTTTGTACAGTCTTCAGAGTACAAGGCAGACTTTAGCAGAGATATTGCCAATACACTACAAAGAGCCTACGGTCTCAACACAAATTAAAGCTAAATTGGCAGAGGTCCATCGGACTCAATTCCCTTCATCCGATTAATTAGCTACAAGCACTATTTCTTGGAATTACGCGTAGATGCAACGATTTTACTGGTTGTTCTTAACATTGTATTCGCTTTACTGCTTTATAAAATTACCACTTCGTTGAGTTGTCGTCAGGAATCGGGATATATCGTTTTGCTAATCCGCCTGAAGCACTCTCTCGCATCCTTTCTACGTAAATCTGCGTATCTCATATTTCAAACTCACATTTTATTTTTATATTTTTAGCTAATACGGGAAAGGAGATCACGTCAAAGTTAAAGATACAAACATTTACAGTTTTTTTTAGTGAGAGAAATTTAAGCCTTAGGCAATATTGAACTTAACTCTAACTGACAAATACTTATCATCAAGGCTATTCTTCATTAACGCATTCCATGCCAAAATAATTGTTAGTAGTTATAAAGGTCTTCTATAAGCTTAAAAGTCACACTTGGCTACGTTATCTTCACTTGTGCTATTGTTCATAATTGTGTCGAAAGAGACTATAGATTCTTAGTGGAACATCAATCATTAATTATTGCAATAATTATTATTGTATAATTTAATTGTAATTAATAATTTTTATTATTATTAATTAATAAATTAAATCAAAGATAAGGTTCGACTGGACTGGACTAAACTTGAAAAAAATAAAATGTTATTATTTCAAGGCCCATGAGAAAGAAACATGTTGACTTAGGTCGAAAAAATCTTGAAAATGGATTATTATTTTCCATATGTGAATTTTGAACACTCAAATGCATCGCAGTCAAATAACGAGAATTGAAAAATAAAGTTGAATGAATGAATGAGATTTAAAGTTTTATAGGGGGGCGCATTATTGAAATGATCGGTTTGCATTTCTAATAAAAAAAAAATAACTATTTCCGTTTATTAGATAGAGAGTTTAAAAGAAATTGAGTATAGTAGTAACTTCAGTTAGTTCAACATTTCTTAAGAATAGAATAAACGAGATAAATAAACAGATTTTCGCCATCTATTGTCTCCCTAAATTATTGAGTATTACAAAATCGCCCCAAAGCTAAAAAAAATACTTTCTGACCGAAGTAATGTGCCAAACGCTAAATTTGAATATCATTCACTCTACAGACTACCATACTATATGTCGTATTCAAATGACTGTATCACAATTGCATTATTGTGCAGTTTGAAATAACGGAAGAAAACATTATTTATAAATAGTTTAGCTGCAAAAGTTTTACCAGGTTTGCTCAGGCGATATAAATCACATTCAAGTATCATTTTTGATAAGGACATCAGTCATTGTAATAGTGATTGTTATTGGGAATTTTGATTTCCTTATTCCATTTTTTGTTTAAAGCGTTTAAAATTTATAGCTTAGGCATAAGCCCAATTCAATATAAAGCGGATATATGCATATATATCTATATCATTATATCTATATATATATATATATTTATATTTATATTTATATATATATATATATATATATATATATATATATTTATATTTATATATACATATATATAACACGCTTATCTTGAAAGCATTTTCAAAAAACTACTTGTCCCTTCTTTCTATGAGTTAAGGCATATAGTAAGGAAATCAAAAAGTAACAGACAGTAATTTCACTTGGAAAAAGTTTCAAAGCTTTCTATCGTTAACTGTATATATAAAACAAAAATTTATATTTGATACATATTGGTATACATTACTCAATTGCGATAAAGCAATATTATGACTTGCATTTAGTTCTTTTTACCTTTGTTGTTGTAGTCCTTGTTGCCGCCTCCATTTCTAAAATAGGATTGTAATATAACTCATCATTTAACGGTATTTACATTGGGTGTATTTCAATATAATTCAATGTAGGATAAATAGTGTACGCATAGAAATAGATTTCATTATCACAAGTACCATTAGAGATTATTGTTATTCCAGAATTACTGTGTTCACGCAAGAATATGCAAGAGGAGAGAGTAGGTACCATTTTAACGAGTGGCTGGATGTTTAACAGGTCTCATTCTCTTATTACCATAATTTCTATGACTTTATTTGTTATATAAAATTGGTTGCAAATTTTTCTTTCTCAATTTTTTTTTTTTTTTTTACCAAAAACCAAAATTGTGCTTTTGCTGTTTGTTTAAAACCAAGTAAGTATATGTGAGGTTTAATCGATTTTAATAACCATGTGACATACACACATTTCGTTGAAAATTTTAAAGATACATCAATGCAACACCAAACGCAACACTTGCTTTTCAAAATCTTCCGATGATATGTTTTTTAGAATCTCAGTAATATACCAAACATCATGTGTACATAACCACAAAAATGAACCGGTTGACATCTTTGAAAAATTGTAATAGATTACTCCTCATTAAATGCAACATAAAATGGCCGCCTCTTCTTTTTTCAGTTGAGAGCGAAAAAAAAAAGAGAATTACCAAGGTTTTCTATTTTTCTCTTAAAATTTATTGCTATACACTTTCTCAACCCGAACTATCTGTATTTGGGATACTATCACTTGAATTTAAATATATTTAGGTAACTTGAAGCGTTTTCGACTTGTGATTTGTAAATTATAGGAAAAGTTTAGATACATACCCGTAACCGCCGCCACCACCACCCATTCCACGATCTTGCCAGCCACCACCGCCGCCGCTATTGCTACCACTTCCGCCGCGATTACCAGAATCGTAACCTTTTAACAGAAAAAAAACACACACACGTTACTCATGTCCATACAATTTCTAAAATATTTTTACCTCCTTTATTATAAGATGGCGGAGGTTTGCTGTAGGGACCACTACCACCCTCACCTCCACCCATTTGATAATTTGGTGGAGGCACTGAAAAGTTATTATAGCCTCCGCCGCCTTGATTACCGCCATAACCACCACCTATAAATATTATGTTAAAAATTATGCATAATAAAAGCGTCCATGTAACCACTTACGATCCATTTTATATAATCTCTTGAAATATAATTTGTAGACCAAAAATCAAACGATTCTCTATTATTTATTTTATACCCCTTTTTTTAACCACAATGCACAGATAACCTCCACCAACAGTTGACAAAATAGAAATGAAAAGAAACTGCTGCTTAGAAAAAAAAACCAAATCTGTTACAAAACGTGAAACAATGGCGTGCTGGATTGTTGCCATGGTTTAATTGCTTTTAATGCTTTTAACAAAATCAGGGTAGTAATTATGTGTGATGAAGTTAGATTTCAATTTCGACTTTCGAGTTTTTTGCTTTACGTTGCATGAAAAGCCTTCTCGTATCTGTTCAAATTACATAAAAGTTGAATAGCTCACGTTTCGTACTAGTATTGGCTGCTTAGAGTTGCATTTATAAGAAAAAAACAGCCAGTACATTAACATAAACATTATATACTTAATCGCTATTGAGGTTTAATAAGTTTTCGATGAGATCGAGACTACGAAATTGATCGTTTGTAATCTTTGGGTCGTTGTAATGAATAAACATGCAATTTACGATTATACAGTCACAAGTATATGGTGGCAATATTGGTTTTAAAATGAGTGCATATTTCTCCTGGATACGGTTCTGCATCCCGGTCAATAAGGCTACTTACATTGTGTATTTAATGTTTTGGACGATGTCCAAACGTCTTGCTGACTGATTCATATTTTTGTGCAATTTTTCAGAAATTTCCGATGACGATAATGACTCTGGCAACTGAAAAACGTTTATGAATTCGCGATTTTGGTTGAAAATCTTCCTTCCCGCTCAGCCGTTCAGAAAGTTGCTACACAGACGTACTTTGGTCGTAAGAAGAAAGCTATTGAAAATATTTGGGATCGGTTTATTTTCTCGAGCATAAACCGTCCTATTCTGAAAAATCGTTGTATGGAAAAAAAATTCAATGTAGTTGGGATTAAAGAAGCAAAGATAGATATCCCTGCCGATTAGGAATCATCTGTCAATGTATCTACTGGTGTATGTGTCATTCGAAGCTTGTCTGTTCGTCTTGTTTTCTTGTGTTCATGCTGCAGGTCGCAAGTTCTGAAATATTTTGATGAAATATGGTACACCGGCATATTTTGATCCCAGCGCTATTGAAAATGGTTGGGATCGGTCCATTTTTCAACCATATACCGCCCCGTTCTGAAAAATCATTATATGGAAAAGCATTACAATTTTCAAAGTTTTTCGGTTAAAATGGTTAAGTAGAGGTATTTCGGCATTCTAAATTGACATGAATCTTTGGACCGGCTGGAGAAATTCTTTGATCCCCCTTCATCTCACCGTTCCTAAGAAAACTGAATTTTTATATGGTAAAACGGACGAATCTCAAATATTTCATGGTGAAAATTGGCTCATAATAGTAAATTCACAAAGAACTTGGACCACGTAGGTCTATTTTTTGGATGCCACCGCCACCTTATATGCCAAAAGGGCCTAATTTTTAATTTTTTGTAATGAAATTTGTTTATGATAGTAAGTAAGTAAAAGAATTAAGTAGACCTAAGTTGAACCATATGGGCCTATTTCTTGGCCTCACTGCGTTTGCGATGAAGCGTTTGGACAAAAAAAAAATTAGAAAGAAAGAAAGGTTCAAAAATCAAAATTATATATTCATATCCATATCGATATCCATATCCATGTCTAACTAACTGTGCCGTTTTTGTTTATGCCATTCCAATGTAATAGAAGTAAATAGTAAACGTGTTATGTGCGACTCATATCTCGTTTATTTATTTTAGCTATTAACTATGCATTATGGTTTTTATCTGTACATGTGCCCTTTATACCCTACACCACCTGTGATACAAAGGTGTATTAAGTTTAAGAGAATGTATAACGGCATCCCGAATGCCCTGATAGAATCATTTCATTGTGAGCCCGTCTATCTGTCTTGTATATTTGTGTTTAGAGTGCAATTTTTTAAAAATATATTTTCCTGAAATATGGAATGGTACGAATCAAATCAACTTTTCGATCATTTGCCATGTGAAGTCGGCGTATGAATAACGGTAGTAATTGAAGTGGTGTAGGGTATTTACTTCTTTCAATTGTTCAATAAACAATTCGAAGCTATTGTTGTTGTGTATACCGTTTAAAAAAACAAAATTCTGTTCAGGATTTTTTTTTTTTCATTAACAATATAGTTTATCTCTAAAATTGTTCGTATTATTGTTGCGTAAAATCTTTAATTTTTATTTATTTATTTATTTATTTATTTATTTTTTTCATTCAGTAAATAGACCAATAATCTTAATATAATATTTTTCTAAAACAATTTATATATATATATATATATATATATATATATATATGTTTATATGTATATATATATATGTATATATATATGTATAATTTCATAAATATAATTATTATTTTTATAGATTTCATAAAAATGAATATAAAAAATAAAAAATAACAAGAATATAATGAAAAATTGTAAACAAATTTTCTATTATTAGCAAAAAACATTTGCATTAATTCGGTGAATAATTTGTAAATGTGCGTATGAAAAATATGATAATGTACATATGCTTGTGTATAACTTGATAATATATTAATCGACTTACTATTGTCGTGTATATTTATACATGTATATAGAATTATTATATATGAAATATTAAAAGTAATTTTTGTTCAAATTATTTACTTAATACTTAATATTTTCAACTTTTCTTCATATTTTTCTCATTCCTCATACTAACGTGTCTATATATGTCTTCCTATATATGTATATGTTGTAATAAAGTGTATCCTGTAAAGGTAGAATGTAACATTTCAATTTAAAGACACTTTTGTTTGACGTTATGAAAAGAAGGGATTACTTAAAAGCATTCATAGATTCCGATAGAACCATGGAAACATAGAAATGCTTGTTAGCGGTGTGTCGAGGAAGGTCTTGTTTAAGATTTCTAGGAAGCGTTTTCTTCTGCATCACAATTCATTTGCCTTAATGTTCCTTTAAATCTATGCCGCGGGCTGTTCTACTCGTTTGCGCAGAAAGTTAAGCCTTTCAAGGCCATTTCAAGAACAATCATGAGAAGTTAATCGTTGACGATTTTTTCGAGAACAAAAAGAACAGATGATGAAGGCCTTAATCTAATAGTAAAAAAAAAAAAAAAACAGTTCACATTAAGGTTTACTCTGACTGAACTATAATAACTCAGGAAAGGGCAGCACTAAGACACTAAGCCTTTCTCAAACTATCAAAGAATCTGCCAGCTTGTAGTATAAAAGCACATTAAATTTGTACGGATGCTTATCGCACGGAGAAGGACTTGAAATAAATCTCACCGCCTAAGCTTGTGTGTCCATCTGTCCCTCTTTTATTCTTGTATTCAACCAAATGATCGCAAGTTTTGCGATATTTGCGATGCAATGTTCTTGAGAATGGTTCACTTTTGCGATTACTTCGACCATTGAGAGCTTAAATGAATATTTAAGGAAAAGTCTACTAAAGTTGAAATCATGTAATTTGGACGACTATTGCTGCATTACAATTCATTGGGAGCTAATACAATGATGAAATCTTTTGGGCAATAACCGCACATTTAGCAGTTTACCATATGGCACATGGTTTTATTGAAATTCAGTTCCTGTCCTTCTACGTTTATATGAATAATTTTAGTTTACAAAAAAAATTTTTAGTTAATTTTTGGATATAGATATATATATATATATATATATATATATGTATATATGTATATATATATATAGTATTCACAAAGTCTTATTTTATGCAATGACATAATGAAATGTCATTATGAAAAAATTCATATATAAATTAAAATTAAATTTTTTTTTTTTTTATTGGTTTCTTTTTATTTGTTAAACAAATTTTGGTTAATTAATATACTTAAGAATAATCGAAATATAATTTAAATTTAAATCATTTTCAAACTAATTAAATGTATATCAAATTAAAAATAATAAATATTGAGAGAGAGAAAAAAAATCGATAGATAATTCGATTAATTTTTCTCATTATTATTAATTACATATAATATAATATAATTAGGCTTTTCTATGTATGTTGTTTGTACCAAAAATTATAAATTCTTAACAATTTAGCAATAATTTGAGTGATGTGATGAATTTATTTAAAAAAATTTCCAAAACAATTTCATTAAATTGTTGCCAACAAGATTTTTTTAAATTAATTAGTTCATTTTATTTAATATATCTAAAATTATATATATATATATATATATATGTATGTTTGACCTGTTTTAACTTTCTTTTTTTTTTTTTTTTAGCTCGTAATGACTGATTTCTTTATAGACCTATAAGTCTCAATAGATTAAAAACATAAATATGACCATACAAACGCCCTTTCGATCCCCTTCAATTTTCAATTAAAGTAGAGAGGCGACGAGAAATCAATTTTGGCTTTCAACTCATCAAATAGAAAGCAGCTTTCTATCATCTGCTCCATCGCTTGAGTGTTACTTTTGTCGCATTGTTTGCAGACGCGCGGGCAATGTTCAATTTACGATAGATTCTTTCCGCGCACGAGTCACATAGTTTATGCAGAGATACAATTATTGATGACGATTAAAAGATTCTTTTCTAAAAAAATTTTTTAAAATATTTTTTAACTTTTCTTTTATCAACTTTATTGTTGTTGCATTTGAGCTATTGAACACACACTCTTTTACCGCCTTCTACACTATGTACACGTATGTGTATATACGAGGTATGTCCAAAAAGAAAAATGATCATTTTCCATTCAAAATGTCGCATGCCTATCCCCCTTCCACGCGTGCAAAAGATATAATATACCTGTGCCTTGCGGGATTTTTCCGACATACGTCAACCGATCTATCGATATCGTTAGTAACTTCTCCGGCGATTCTCAAATAATAATTTTCTTCACTTCTTCAAAGTTTTCGTTGTCAATTATTGAATGTTGTTGGTGCGTTCAGGGCGGCCAGCGTCATTAGAGTCATCTAGGCCTTGTATCACTTGTACACATTTTCATGCCAATATTTTAGGTGAGTTGGGGCACAAAATTTAATACAGAACTAAATAAATCCATATTGCCGGATAATGTCATCAGATGTTGGGGACGTGAGTGTAAAGAAAAAATCAAAATTCCAGAATCGAATGTACATAGTCCACGAAATTTGAACACACCTCGTATATATATAGGATATTTGATGAGTTTAATGGCTTATAAATTTGGCAAGATTCGAACATTTTCACAGTGGTGCGGTATTTTAGAGCGACTGATTCGTTGCCATAGAGCGGGACATATTAACCGAGTAAAGCACTGAACACGGAACACTGAATGATTGTATTATCCAGTTGAACATATACAGTTTTGCAGTTACGCTTAGCGTTGATGGAAATTTTAAAAATTTCTTTCTGGCTCGATTTTTGACAAGCAAAACAATATAAAGTAAAAATTAATTAATTAAATAAAAACGAGCAAGAAAATTAGTAGTCGGCGGGAGGACCGAGCCTCGCATATCCATCACCATGCTTTTCGCATTCTACTCTCCACGTTCTCTTATTTGATATCCACATCGCAGGTAATATTAAGAAAAAATTAATCCAACAGTTCGCGGTAAATTAACCCATTTTTTAGGCAGATATTATATCTCCGATTGGGGGATTTACCAAACAGACTTAAACATTCGGTCTTGTTTGTCTAATGATAAATAAGCAAAAAAAAATCTCAAAAGAAGTGAAAAAAAATTAAATTTAATTACTTTGTAAATTTGTGTGGATGCGAACAATTGGTTCCATTTTTAAGCCTAGAGAGTAAAGGGTTTCGTAAAGGAAATGTGAAAACTACCAGCCTTCGAACTTTTGTAATTTTCGAGCAAAGGGCAAAAATCCAAAAATTTTTATTCGAAAAAAAAACGGAGTTGCGTAAAGTTTACGCTCCACTGTGCACTTCCGCCCCAACTAATTTGACCCATTTTCAATACCAACCTGCGTGTAGAAATTTTCAATTTTTCTACTAAATTTACATTCGATATCTTCATTTTTGCGACGAGGAGAGCGTCAACAATATACATCGCCTAAATGGACAGACATCGCTTTTATAGAGTCTCTGAAGCTTCCTTCGGTGGCGGGTATAAAAAAAAATATTTTTGTAAATTTGAAGTTTGTCATGATATCAAAATTAATCCCTTTCATAAAATGTATATTATTGTCACAATGTGCTTCGCAGTCTTATAGTCAGAACGCAGTCTTATAGTCTTCGACTGAGATGCATTGACGAATTGTGCGTAACAGTAATGTCTATGTCACCTATGATCATATCTTTACAAGCTATAAATTGAATCAAAGGCTATAATGCACCGGTTAGGTCAACAAGTTTTACTTTTTAACTTAAACTTTCCACTTATGTCATTAATTTCATTATTAGAACAATTTTTTGAAAACATTTTTATTTGATCAAAAGCAATACCAACTTGATTGCTATACAGATAGGAAAGAATGAGTTTTAATGGAGCAATCGGGCAGTCGGGCAGTTGGGCAGTTGGGCAGTCGGGCATCTAATCTAATCTAATCCTTCATTCATTTTAATGATGATGTAGTAACTTTTTTCAATTATTTAACAATAAACTGAGCGAGAAGTGATTCGAAAAGTGAAAATTGATTTCACATAGGCAAAGTGATTAGCAATAATTAGGAACAAATATGATTCGGTTTTTGCTATCTGAAAGTTAAATACTCTTATATATAGGCAAACGAATGTTATTTGCATACTTTATAAGCTGAATGGAGCTTCTTTGTTTTTGTTTTTGTTTTTGCAACAACAATTTGTTTATTAATGATGTACAGATAGATAGATAGCTGTGTTGTGATAGCAAACCCCCCGCGCGTACATATATAATCTCTACAATGTTGCAGTGAGAGATGAAGAGCTGATCGGCCAGGCTTGCTTTTGCCAAATGAACGGAATGGTCATACGTTTACTTAGTATTTACATGAACGAATAATTCGTATTTATTCAATTCATTAATTAATTTAATTACTTAATTATATCATTAAATGCATTCGATAATTTTGTGTTTTTTTTCTCTTTCTTTCAGAATTGAAACCACCTTATGTTTACAAAATTTGTAAAATGAAATTAAAAAAAAAAAAAAAATTTTTTTTTTTTTTTCGTTTTTAAATGAAAATAAAAATGTAAAATACTAGGAACAATATATCTTTACTATAAATGTAACTAAAATATTTTCGGGCACATTCGATAATTCTTAAAAACAAAAAAAACAAAAAAAAAAAAAAAAAAAAAAAAAAATATGCAATATAAATATAAAATACAGTTTAAAAAAAATACAAATATCATCATCAAGTTGAGTCCTGTTGAACGGATGGATTAACATGTGACTTAACTATCTACGTCGATGCGGTGCACATGAATGAAGGGTAATGTAGCATTGATAGGTATGTGTGTTTTTGTATGCGTGAGTGTGTGTGTGTGCCTTGGTATATTTATATTTGTATGCATTTTTATTGTGATGTTTGTCTTTTTTATTTTTATTTTTATTTTTTATTTTTTATTTTTTATTTTTTTATTTTTTTTTTTTATCTTTTTCGATTCTTTTCATAAAAAATGTGATCTGCACAGCAGTTAAATTTATATGAAAATGTTTTCGTCGTAACTTAAAAAACAAAACAATCTATCTAAACCAATTACGTAACGAAAACATCTACTATCACTGTTTAAGAATTTTTAAAGAAAGCATATTTTATACAAATTTCTTATTGATATCAGACAACAATGACAACGACAGAGACAATATTTAAGTACATATTATATATATATCGGTATTCAGACAATTATAATGCATGTACTTACATAATTTACGTAGTATTCACTTCTTTTCCTAAAGCGACATTTGTGCCAAAATTCGCAAGTTGACGTTGGGTTACATAACCATATATATTGGTGTTGTTATGGTTGCTTATATTATCACCGTAACTGATACGATTGGGATGGCTTAGCGTAGGATTCGCTCTTGTCGTTACTGGCGCTTCTGTTGACGTTGTTTCTGCTATTGATGGTGTTACATCATCGGCATCTGTAATAATTTGTGACGCTGCGGTTATCGTGGCATTCATAGGCAATTTAGGTGACGTCAACGATGAGGGTGTGCTTATCAGACTAGAACGTCTAAGCGTTTTCTCTAAATCGCCTACCGTTGTATAACCGTCAGAAATTTGCTGGGACAAGTGTTGTTGCTGTTGTTCTTGCTGTTGCTGTTGCTGTTGCTGTTCTTGCATAATCGTGGGTGTAAACTGCAATGCATATATTAAAAAAATTATTTATATAAGATTTTCGGACGGAAAACAGTGCTTTTGATATTAATAGGTTACCAATTGTTTAACGGTACTGGCTTGTATATAACCGTTTGTCATGTTGTTAGGCATAGCAATTGTTTGCATAGATATTACTGCCGGCCGTTCGGTTGTGTTTAAATTGGAGGCCAATAATAAAGTGTTCGGTGTTACATAACCTCCGGTATTCATTGGTAATACCCGAGGTACTTCCAAATCAATTGTAACCATTTGATTAAAATTCTCTGCCTCATCGTCTGTTGCATCTTGACTTAATTTCTGTACGCCGAACATTTTATTGGTATTTTCAATAGTTCGATGAACAATCGAACGATCATTATATGAACAATCGGCTCTTGAGATAGAGCTCGAATTCGAGCTTAACTCTTCGTTTGTTGTTTCATAAGATTGATGTTCGTCTATCAGTCCTTCATTGTTTTCAATCTCTTCCTTTCCTCCGCTATTCGCCGACGACAATGATGGTAAAACATTTATCGAACCGCTAAACATATTCGGCAACAAATGATGATTTTCCTTCTCTTTATAATTGACTAAGCAATCGCTGTTACGTGATATTTGTGTATGTATTTCCTTTTTGCAAGCTGCTGACACATCTGTACCGTTACTTTGACTTAACGAATTATTACCGAATTTATATTTGGAAACTTGATCGACAAGAGCCTCGGGTAAAATTACTTCAATATCTTTCATTTCACGATATTTGCTGCGTAGCCAATAAGAAATTAAGCCCAATAAGAAACCCAACATAATTATAGCGACAATATAAGCAAATATTGGTGTACTTGTGCATTTGTATACACGCGGCGAATACGTCCATGGTGAGGCAAAATAACATTTTGTATTGTCGCTACGCCAAAATTTATCATAGAGTTCATCATTTTCTTGCTGATCGGGTATACAGAAATTTTTTTTAATTTGCCCACCGTCTAATGTCAAATTTCTTGACATTGGTTCAATTTCATGATCATATTCCTTGTCGGCGGCTGTATTTACGGCTCTCACTTTCAAACTATACGAATAGTATGCGCTATAGCATTCCGGTATACGAAAACGACAACTGCGTTCCCTCATCAACGATATCGATTCGATAATTTCACTGCTATCGTTCGCGGATCGTATTAAAGCAACTACATAAAATTCTAAACGTCCCGAGGGCAACATAGGCGGATCCCATGTAATTAAACCATCATTTTCGGTTATATTAACGTTGCGAGGATTCGATGGGACTAGATTTTGTTTTTTTTGTTTTTTTTTAAATAAAAAAATTTTAAATTTAATTATTTCATTTTTTTAAGAAAGCATTCTCTGAAAGCATTCTGTTTAAAACTTACTTCCTATTAAAGTCGAAATATTAATACGATTGCTGGGTTTCGATTCTTCGACAGTATGAGCCGTCACATAAACTTCATAATTAGAATAGCTATTAAGACTGGTTAGAGTGTAAGAGGTTTCGTTGATTGATGTTGTATTCTTGTCAAAAGCATCATAAGCAATTTTGCGCCTAAAGTGAATTAATTTCATTTCATTATAATATAAAATTATTTATAAAAAAAAAATTAAAAAAATTAATAAATAAATACTTGCCAATATATCGTGTAAATAGTTAGTTCACCATTTCGAATGGCTGGCGGTTCCCATCTAATTCGAGCAGATTTACTTGTCACACTAGCGGTTATTAAATTTAAATTACGCGGTGCCGACGGAGCTATAATCCGAATAAAATACATTCTCTATATATATGACTATAAAAATTTAAATTAGAATAACACTTGCCTGCCTGTTTCGTTTTAATACATTTAGTATCGCTGCTGCGTCCCCGTTTTGTTGGCGAATACATAAACATGCTTAAGCATACTTCGGTGAATGGCTTCAAATTGGTGATAGTATAATTACGATGCTCTTGATTTTCTCTTAACAATTCGATGGTTGCGTTATTATTATATTTTGCATCTTGCTCCTTTGGCAGCCAATAACTTAAATTATAGCCTTTCAATATTGACGCGCAGACACTGCCCGAATTCCATTTGACTAGTATGGCACTATCGTTGATAGCACTGACCTCAATTTCCATTTTCATTAGTTCGCTGGAAACGTCACCAGAGCATTGCGCCCATTGCATGCCTTTATTGAAATGCGGATAATTTGCCGAAATTGCTAAATTTAAGCTACGATCTTTCGGTTCGGTGGTAAAGTTGCTTTCATTTTTATTTATATACCTAAAGTGTATTGGACCCTTAGAAAAGAGAAAGAAGAAGAAGTCGCATTCGGTAACTAACTGTTACAATTGAAATAATTTCATTTCACATATATATTTATTTACCTTACACTGATTCGGTAATTCGATCTTTGGTAAGCACCAGAAGACAGTGTAGTTAAGTAAGTCTTTAATATTTTGCGGTGGTGACCACGATAAAGTATAACTACTGTTATGATAAATTTTCGCTATTGAATTCTCACTCAATACGTATTGTCGTTCGAGATAATTTGAATTTCCGTTAGGATAAACCAATAAGCTATTGCTCGCCTCACTTTCACCCAAAATATTCGCCGATTTTATATGAAATTTACGTGCATGAGTATTCTTCCAAGGAAATGCAATTGTACTATCATTTGTTCGAATTGTATTGCTAAAGTTGGAAAAAAAAACAAACAAAAAAAAAAATGTGCAGGTCAAAGCAAAAAAAAAAAAAAAAAAAAAAAAAAAAAAAATAAAAAAATTGAAAAAAAAAAAAAAAAGGTTTAAGTTTTTTCTTTATAAATTAATTACATAATGATATCGTTTTCATCAATCTCGTTGATAATATAATGAAATTCAGGTCCATTGTGTTCGCTCTCCTCCAATTGTTCCCAATATAAACGCAATTGCGTCTCGGTATTGTATATGTAAAAACTGCCCAATGGCAATTTCGGCGACCTATCCGGTTTACGTTGCAATGTAATAAAATGTTTTTCAGTCGCTTCACTCCACATACTGTCATCATCATTATCATCGACTGCATTTGATTTGGCTCGTATTTTTATAATGTACGGCCAATAAGCTTTCAAATTTTTCATAATTGCGCTCCGATTACAATTTACATATTCATTTTTATAATTGTTAGTGCGATTGTCGCGCACACTTATATGATATGTCAAATTCCTTGGATAATAAGCGACATTATGTTTATACCATTTCAATGTAACACTGTCACTGGTGATGTTATTAATATTGAAATCAATGGCAGCAGGTACAACTAAATGAAAAAAAGGTTTTTTTTGTTTTTTTTTTTTTTTTGTTTCTTAATATAATTCACAATTATTCAATCTTAATTAGTTTATCTTGTCATATTCATACCCATCCACGCAACCTCCCTACCCCACCGCGCACCACTCAACGCAAAATGGGTCATTACTTATATAACATGTGAAAATCATGTAAGTCATATCAAATTGGTCGATAATGTCTGTCTGTCCTATCAGTATATGAGTTTGATGTTCGATAATAATTAAGACAAACTTTACAAAATTCATTTCGCTTCCTCCCATCTGATGACGATTCTCTATTATATGAAGAAATTAAAACAATTTTAAGAAATTTTCTATGCTTTCTTAGAGATTCAATGCTATCGTATAAGTTATTTTATGAAGTAGAAGAACATAGTTTTTCGAGTTAAGAAGAAGAGATCGAGTTGCGTGCATGAAAAGTGAATGCAAGCGAACAATGATGAAATATTGACATCGACAATAAACCCGAATATTAATAACCATTTGCCAGTTGCAGTTGAATGCGGCCGCAAGTCAATTAAATCATTATCTCGGGAAGCTATCAATCAATAGCAAACATAAAGAATAAATAATTTTATATCACTTCTTTCTTTTTAATCAAAATGTTCAGAATCTTTTACTAAAATGGATCTTCCAATTGCAATCCTTTGCAAGATACTCTAATACGCTTGTCTAATTTAAATATTCCTAATAAGACCGTTTAAGAGAATAGATTACAATGCTAGCTTTACGCACAATACCGCTTGTTAGTTTAGTCTGGATTTCTATCGTGAATTTTGAACCAAATTATAGCTCGTGTGCCCATTCTTACTACTTGATTTTCTTCTTCTTCTTCTTTTATTTTGTTTACGTAGGAGGGCTTAGCTGAACTGATAATAAAATATTTTGAGTTAATTTGGTATGAGGTTTACTGGATGCCAACAGACAGAGGAAAAATTTTTATGGACTCCGTTCCCGGTAAAAAAAAATTATCGACAAAAACGTTGTCTCAAATATTTCGCAACCATATTCGATGCATGTTATGTTCGCAAAAGCTAAGCTAATTGTCGAGCTAAGCTAAGCTATTGTTCAGTATTGTAACTGTTTGCACGCTTAGGAGCACTTTTGTTAAGAGTAAACACTTACGAAGGATATACAAAAAATTTGCCGAATTGCGGAGGTAATATTCAGCAACCCTGAGCAGATTAACCAGTCAGTAACTTACTAGACTAGAATACGAAAGAAAGTTAGAACGGACGTATGTAACACGCAGTAGGGCTTAAGATAGATCCGCCTTTTTAAGCCAGTCTATTCTTGCGATGTCTGTCCATGTAAATGTGCGTTTAAGCTAGAGGCAAGCAATATTTGAAATATTTGAATGGATTTTTCATACATTGACGGGTTTTGACCCAAGGACGAACTCTGTTGCAAATGATTCGGATCGGTCTACTTTTTCGACCACTTCCCATATAATGCCCTCTTCTGAAAAATCGTTATACGGACCAAAATTGCAATATTGAAAATTTCTAAGCATAAGTGGTTAAATAGTAGTACTTCGGCGTTCTAAATTGGTATAAAAACTTTGGACCGGCTGGGCCAATTTCTAAACACGATTTGGTGGTGGAAATTGACCCGTAATAGTAATTTCATACAAGAATGAATATCTACATCTAAGTCTATTTTTGGATCTCCTATGCAGGGATTAAACTTGCACTACATTAGGTTGAGTTTTGGGCTCGCTTCCTCATAAATGTACACTAGAAAAATTTGCCTTAATATAAAAACAACATATAATTGTTGTGTTCTATAATAAAAATAAGAATTGTGTTAAACAATATAGTGTAAGGTATTTAGTTGTCGTCCTTGCCCAACTGTAATGTTCTTACTTGTTTTCTCATAAGCAGATTTGCTTTTACAGAGGTAATGGTGCAAACAGCAATGATGAGTAAAATTCGGCAAAAGTCCAATATGTCTACTATTTGGTTGTAGAACACTACGAACTAACGATTAAATGCGATTCAGTTAGCTAAGCCTACTCTACTGGCCTTAAACCTAAATGGCCATGTAGATAGATAGAGATATCAATTTTTGGATGGCAATTTGAATGGATGGCATATTTTTTATGTTTACATTAAAAACGCATACCAATGAACATTTCACAATGATATTCGCGTCTCATTACAACCACTGCATGAGACAAGCGGTTTGATTTCAATAAATACCATATTAAATTGTAAGAATAAGCAGCACAGTGTAGTAGGGTCGTCTGTTTACCATTGAAACAGCGAAACTAATCAAATCAATTAACTGAGGGAACGGCATCAAATTGTTGGTATGAAAAAAAAAGCAAAAAAATCCAAGTTAATAAGCTAAAAAAAAAAAGGCATGAATCAATAGCCGAAAGAGTATTGCTTTAGTTTTTTACATCAATCAGTTGCGAAAATCCTGAAATTAGAGAGAAATTCATTTGTTTTTCTTTTTCTCAAAGCAAATTGTCAGGCTTATAAGATTGATTTTGGCATTGCTAAGCTGCAGAGTTTATAGTTATGAGTTTTTGTGAATAATAAATCATATTCATCATATGTTACACACTATTTGCCCATTGATGTATCATTTGTTAAATTTTAACAAATTTCTACATAGAAAATGTTTCTTATTGGAAAATGTCGGGGTAAATGTTTATAGTGGAAAGAATGCATTAAATTTAAGGCAAAATAAGAAGAAGAAAAACTAAAGCAAAAAAAGATGATAAAAAAATTTTTAAAGATTTATTATTGTCTTTTGATCTATTCGTATAGATCCGATCCCATAATAATGATTGTAATTGCCTTAAGGCAACTCTTATTTTTAATATCAAATACCGTAAGCAATATTATATCAATGAATAGGAAAAAGTTCTATGAAAAAAGTCCAATTGCGACTTATCGTGCGTTGAGGGCCATGCAAATCGTATGTTGATATCTATCTATCTCTTCATAAGGAATTATTTTGAGGTTTCCTTTTTTTTTTGGACATAACACTATTAGATAGATGATGGGTATGAATGGATTCGGAACGAGCCGAATGCAATTGGCTTTTGTAATTTTTTTAAATATAAAAGACTTACCAATATTATGATTATGAATTCTGAAGCATTGTTCATTTTTGCCCTTATCGTTGCGAGCAGTTAATTTGAATACATATAGATTTCTTACTGGGAAATAACAATCACTTATATTACAATAAAATTTATTATCGTCACCATCCTGTAGCAAGCAAACACGATATCTTTCCTCTACCTGACACCTATCCTCGTTAGGTATTTTCCTCTCTTTCTGTATAATAGAAAAATAAATCAATTTTTTTTTTTTTTTTTTTTTTTTAACTTAATTTATAAAACTAATGTAATTAAATTGAATGAACTTACATCGTCACTTATTCCATACTGTAATTCATACTGAGTTAATAGCATATTTTTGGGTCTGGTAAAGCTGCATTCCATATATTCATAATCATAAACTTTGCACTTAAAATCTGTAACATTTGTTGGTTTAGTACCTGCAATCAAAATAATACATACATAAATATCCCTATCAATCTTTACGCATGCACATGATATTCCGAAAATTAGTCTATTTACACATAATAATAATTATAAATTTCATTAAAGATTCGCTTATGCAAAGAAAAAATTATGAAAACAAATTCATCAAGTAATACGTGAATATTGTAACGTATGTATGTTTACGTTTCCAGTTCAATAATGTTATCTTATAAATTATCGGCTTAATACTTTAATACCCATCATTCAGGACGGATGGATATATATATATATATATATATATATATATACGCATTTTGTGAAAACGTTTGCATCAACCGGAGCGAGGCTTCAAAAGACCTATTAAACAGGTCTACTATTGATTAGCATCAAATTTAGAATGGATCTACAACATGTCTGTCCGTCCGTCCATCCGTCCGTCCATCTATTTGCTAGTTTTTGTGTTTGCCTACAATAAACAGACCCCCGATCATAAAAATTAAAATATTCAATTGAGAACTTGAAGGCGAAAAAGAAGGATTAAGTTTGCTTTCCTACTAAAGATGTACCAATAGAAATTTCTCCTCTTTAATATAAAGTGGTGAAGGCGAAAAAGAAAGATTAAGAAGGATTAAGTTTGCTTTCCTACTAAAGATGTATCAATAGAAATTTCCACTCTTTAATATAAAGTGGTGATGGTGGGTGTAAAAGATGCCGTTACAGTCGAATATAATTTTCTTACTAGTAATATATATTTTGAGCGTGGATCATATCTGCTCCTTCATTGAAGTCATAAAGTTTTGGTAGATATAAAAATGTCGTTACTTTAAGATTAATGTTTCTTATGAACTTCATGTTACTGTTTTTATTCGTTATTCGTCATTCATGTAAAGATTTACTTACATTCAATCTGAAGCCATCTCTATCAAGTAAACGTTTTGTATTTCAATGCCAATTATTACAACCAGAGTCTTTTCAAAAACGGATAACAATCTCTCGGACTGAGAACTACAGGACTACAGGTGGTTTACGACCTTGTCAAAGATTGCATATGTGCAGAATTTTGGATTTTACCAAGGGAAGCAAAAATCTACTTTATGGTTAACCATCAGCGATGGCTATGAAAGCTAAAGAAGAAATTTTCTTCTGTTTGGTCCTTTAATATCGGTTATGAAATTGGTGACGCTTCTAAAATCAAGACGGGAATGACGTTTCAGATTGTCCCACAAAATCCCTTCAAGGGGTCTATATCGGTTTGTTGGCTAGGCAAGATCGAAGTAGGTAGTTTATCGGCTCGATTTTATCCTGGCCGCAGCAGCTTAGATAGCAGCGACTTAGACATTGGGCATATGGGCTGAATGTACGATAGCTTTGAGAAGAGAACCATCTTGCAGACGAATGTCAAAGCTATACTTCTTTATACTTCGGCAAATGTACGGCGAGTCGCTTTAAGCATTTAACTTCTTGAGACCGCCTGAATCTAAGTTAAAATTTTGAAAATATTGAGATTATAATTTTTTGGAAGAAATAGGAAATTGCGAACTACAAATTATTATATTATAATATAAGTCAATTTAATTACTTTTTATACCCTACACCGTTTGTGATACGAGGACATACTAAGTTTATGCATGCGTGCAAGGATGCATGCAATACTCAGAAGGACTTGAGATAGATCAACCTTTTACCCATCTTGACTTGTCTGTTTGTCTGTCTGTCTTGTTTTTTTGATCAACCTACAGGCTGCAAGTTTGAAAAAGTTTGACAAAGTCTGGCCCGGTCACATGTTTTGGCGCAAGGACAAACGAAAATGGTTCGGACCACTTCTTATGTCACGCTTATTTTTGACCAGTCGCTACACAAATAACTGTATGTAGAGTATTTAATGATGTCCATGATGGTCCTTTTACATGTTTGATTTAAACATGACACAACGAACAATAGAAATTTTGATATCAATTCTTTAATAGTTTTAATACACCGATCCCGCCGAAATTCGAACCGAGATTCCTTGACATTTCGCTAAATCGATACCGCTATAATTGTTGATTAAATTAGTTTATCGTTTATTTCTGTGCGTTTTGCTTGAGGTGCTTGTAAAAACCATTAGGAATTTTATAGTCGTCCTTGCCCGACCATGAAATAGCCTACACCAATTCGGTTAATACAATTATCCGCTTGTTTTGATAATAATACATCGAAAATTACTTGTCGTGAAAGCTCGAATATTGGAGATGTCCAAAACAACATACGACTTGATCCAAATTTCGCAAATTTAATTTACTTTCTAGAAATTTTATCATTTTTCCGTTTCCGTCACAGAAAACTAGAATTTATACTTTCTCTCCGCATAAGTGTTTACTTTTCATGATAACCCTTATATAGTTTGGGTTCTAAAAAATAGACCTATGTGATCTAAATTCCCTACGGTTAATTTTCTTAGTTAATTTGGTGCTATAGACCAATTTTCATCATAAAATATGAAAAATTAAAACTTTTCCTGAATCTTATATGGAGTGGAGTCCAAGGAATGGGTCCCTAAATGCAGTGCTATCCAAAAAATAGTTCTACGGTCCAAATTTGCTAAAATTGATTTCTTTGTCCATTTACTATTATGAACTAATGTTGACGATGAAATATTTGAAATTAGACCCATTTTACTATAAAAATATTTAGTTTTCAGTTTTCGTAGCAACCGTTACATGACATGACAGTTGATTCAAAAATTGCCCCAACCGATCCAAAATTTTCACATCAATTTAGAATGCCAAACCTGTAAGTTCCAGATACGGAGAGTATATGAATAGTGAATCAGGCGGACGGACAACCTTAGATGGATTCAGAAAATCATTCGGAATCGATATGTATAATAAAAATGCGAGTCTAATATTTTCTAAGTGTTACATATATACACAACAAAACTTAATATACCCTGTACGGATACGTAAACAATTATAATAAAATTGAAAAATATATATGCATCACTTTTGATAAGTTTGCTCTTATCTTACCGACATAAACTTCTGAAACCCCAATGGCTTGCGCATCAATTTTGCATTGATATCGACCTTTTTGTTCTTCAGCATTACGTATCGTTAGCACTGCTGTGAATGGATCCAAAATCTGCATACAAAAGAAAAGAAAATGAAAAAATTTTACTAATTTTAAGTGATAATCTTACAAAGTTTGCTATAAATTATTTCAATAAAACTCTCAAGTGCAACTCGTAAAGATCTTTCATATAGAAAATCCATTTACATTTAGGTATAATGTTTTATTTAAATTTTATTTCTCTTTACTGAAAACTTATATATATATATATATATATATATATCATGTAAATTTTTTTTTTTTACTTCTCAAACATACATAATTTATTAAGACTTGGGAGAAAAAAAAAAAAAATAATAAATAAATAAAGAACATTAAGAGACAAAGACTAGTTACGCTAGAGTCGTGCAGTAACATATTTTGTTAAAGTTTATTTCTCATATTGGTATATAAGGAGCATATTGCAGACTATCATATATCTGTATCTATATATATATATATATATATATATATTTACATATATAGTGTATGTGCGCGCATTTAAACCTTACTTGAATATAAAGTTAAAAAATAATTTAAATGATATCAGAAACATTTTTCGAATTAAAAAATTTCTAGTAATAGATAGCAGCGGCTGACTGACTGTCAGTGACATGTCTGAGAAAAGTTGGAGAAAACTACTAAATTTGCCAATTTCTCTAACTCTTGCTTGATGTATAATGTCAAGTAAAACTGATTCTATCGTTATCTATAGAAATATGTTAACATATATATATATATATAACATACATATATATATATATATATAGGTATCGTTTAATATGAAGCGGTACGGTTGTTACATGAGTTCGTGAGAATTGTACATTTATGCATAAAAATAGTTAAACTATACAGTTTGCAAACATGAAAATCTGTGGACATCGAACTTACCAGTTGCTTTAATAAACGTGCATTCATATACCTGTATGTGTATGTATAATAATGTATATATGAATATATCTATATATACATGCATATATACATGCATAAATGTAGATTTCTGGATGGCGAAGCTGATTTTAAAGTTTTGCTTGGTTTAGTGCAGTTTTGGTTAAAGAAAGAATACGAGTTGTCTGTTACATGTCAGGCAATGTATTCCAAAGTTGTAGCAAAAGTTACGATTTAAATCAATCAACATAATACCATTCTCAGTCATGATGATGTTAGAAAATTCTCAAACACTGTTACTGTTATATATATACATACGTCTAATAGACAATAAAGGAGGGAGTGCTTTTTATATTATCGCATGGACATGCATTTCTAAAGTAAAAAAATTCTGTTGATTTCATGCTTTTGTTTAATAGAACTTTAAGACCTACAATAACCAAAAAAAAAAAAACAAAAAAAAAAAAAGAAATTAATCTCATTTAATAGAAATATTTGCCATACTACTGCGCCTACTTTTGCTATAACAAACTGCACTTTATTTGATTCTTTTTAATGAATAATTATAACTGCCCGTGTAATATGTTTTTTTTTTTTTTTTTTTTTTTTTTTTATTAAAATTTAAAATCCCCTTTTTAATTTTTTTTTTTTTTTTTTTTTTTTTTTTCTAGTAAAACGGGATCTAACATAGATAGGTGGGTAAATATACTCTTTGGCTAAGAGGCAATGACACCTTTCAGTAATTTAAAGAGAATTATCTTTGCATATAAGCTCATGTATATATAGGTATGTATCTATTGCAATGAATAGCAAAAATCGAAATAATTCTTAATTTAGTTTTTTTAATGGAAAAATGTGCCCACCTTAAGAACATATTAACAACATATGTTATTCAAAATTGTTATTTACCGTTAATTACACATTTTTCCCATCGTTTTCGAATATGAATTCCGTTACAAAAAGATGCCAGGAGAGAATCTCTTGAGGCTACTCAAGTGAAGGCACGTTCACAGTGTTGGAAGAACTATCATTAATCTCAATATTAATGGAATGACTTCCCATCACACATGTCGTAAATGTGTCTGACATAAAAAGTCAAAGAAAAATTCTCTGTTTTTTTTAAACAGCAAATCAACTCTTCTCTGGACAAATTCGTAAGAGAGCCGTACATAAAGGACTGACCTTTAATGTCAATGCGGCGTTTTTCCTTTTTTTTTTTTTTTTTTTTTTTTTTTTTTTTTTGTAAGGAAACAGCTTATGATGATACAATTTTGCCGATCAAATACACTCCTAAGGAAACAATGGAGGGTTATTCGAAAAGTGATTTTTTAATACCTAAACAAAATCAATCTGTCTATTAATTTTATAGTGCATGCCAGAAATGATCTTTAATTTCTGGGATATGAAAATACTTTAGAGATTCATGAGCGGCCGTACTTACAATCATATGCATTTAATGATGTTTCACGGCATACCAATAGTATATGCTATAGCTTGAATACAAAAGAATTTGATGAGTACACTCACTTTCAAATATCACAATTCTAATAATGTTCGAGTATACTTTAATCATTTCTAATCATATGATAACCTCGTTTATTGTGTCAATACAAAAAACGATGCTCATCATAGAGAATTAATTTACCTCAGTAAAAAGATAGATTCTTTTTTTTAGCTACGTATCCTTTATTCCGAGTTTATTGTATTAACTTTAATACTATATGTATATAGATATACACATATATATGTATATCATCCAAGGATGGGGAAAGGGTATATTCATATTGTCGAAACGTTTGCAACGCAGCATCAAATTCGAAATCGATTTAAGCAAGTCTGTCTGTCCATATGTTTAATGTCCGTTGTAAACATTCTCGTGACTGCAAAAATGAAGCTTTCAAATTTAAATTTGACAATATGACAATTGGAAGTTTACGCAGATTGGTATTAAAAATTTGCCAAATCATACGCAAATCACAGCATCACGTAAACTGAGAACAAACACATTTGTCTTTCGAAGGGAATGAATAATTAATTTATTTTATTTATTTTCCTTTACTCATAAACTATAGTAAACAAATGTACAAAGATTTGAATGCATATTCTATGGGCGATGCTGTTGCATTTTATTTATTTATTTATTTTACTTATACATGAAACTCGACTAAAACAAATTGACAGTCGAGTTCAATTAACTTTTAAAGTAAATCTTATATTTATTAATATTAAAACTTAGTATAAGTATAATAAAACAAATAAGAAAGAAAAAAAAAAAGAAAAAAAGCATGTACACAATTAGCATAGAGCCACACTCACAATCGGTACAGGACCAAATTGCAAATGAAACCCCTAAGCCATCGCAAATATGCATAAGCTTGGCAACCAATTATAGTTAACAACAATTAATTTTCGAATCATAATGACTTTTTAAGGTTAAGAGCTAGTTTATGGACGACATAGGTAAATCATGCGTATTAAGCAATATTGCATTAATGGACTTTAAAGAGTCCGATAACGAGAATAGTGATGGACGTCATTTAGGCTCTGAGCGGATTAAACAGCTCATAATTATATTTACATTGACTAAGCTTAATCAAGATAAATTGCCTAGAGAAGCGGTTAGTGGCATTAAAGCTTATTTCACCAAGTAATGCAGGCGAGTCAATAGCACCATTTATTACTTTGATTACGAAAGGAAACCAAGCCAAGAACAAATCTACGTTTCTCGAGAGACGGTAAGGACAACAGAAGCAATCTATTTTCATAGAGTGAAAGCGAGGCAACCGGTTCCCTATCCAAATTCCTAAAGGCAAACAGCAAGAATTGCTTTTGAACAGATTCGATTGAATCTACATAGCACCTATATGAAGGAGACCACACAACAAAGTCATACTCGAGTATAGGTCTAACCAACCACATGTACAGCCTTTTCACTTTGCACCACCGTTCTATAAAACCAAGCGTGGACATAGCTTTGCTTAACGAGAGCTCAATATGCAAGTTAAAACGTAATCTATGTCCTCTAACTTATGCGAATCAATGAAATATTGACTTTCTTCTTGAGAAAGAAAGCTTCTTACATTTATTTAGATTTAGTTTCAGAAGAAATTATTCAAGTCATTTTGAAGCTGACGTCCAAACGTACAAAAATGGAAAAAATTGATCACGCCTACCCAATATGATAGTGTATCAAAATTTAATTGTTTTTTCAATACCCTTATTACGTGTAGAAATAAATTTCGAAAGCCCTATCAAGTATATAAATTCTGGGCCAGTTTCAAATTTCGAATCTCTATTCGTCTGTCCATCTTTTTGTTGACGCAACTTTGTAGCATTTGTGATAAACATTGTTCCCTTTCAAATTTGCAAAACAATTTGGAATTAATTTAAATATTTCAAAGGACACGCCTCAAACGCCCACATGCCTATATGAGAAAAAATTTTATTTTGAAAATAGAAAAAATTAATTGCGGCCTATCCATATTATGTAGGATGAATATTTTGTTTTTTTACATCTTTTGCCTTTTTTAGGATAACGATGATGGTTATGAAAGCTTCGGTCCCGAACGAATTTAATTTTCTTACTTGCTTTTCTTTTTTGATTTTAACGAATATATTTTCTACATTTATGTTAAAATTTTCTATTTCATCCAGAGTTTGCGACGTTGATATTCCATCACACCACACACACAAGCTACTACTAATGTACTGAATGGATAGACCCCACCTTCTCCTTCCCTTCCTTCGTCGATTATAAACTCTATTCGAAACATGAAACTATGCAAAGTGTATACAAAATGGCAGGTATTGGTCGAACAAATCGAGATATATATATGAATATTATGAAGATTCAATAAATAAAATTAAAACTAAAACATACGCAAATCATATATCAATTAAAGCAGCAGTGAGTAAAAATGCAATATAGTTTTCCAGTGTCATATTTTTCCTTTATTATAAAACGCATTAAAGATTTGTTTAAGACGGTGTAAATGCTTTTTTTTTGACAATGTTTTGACAATGGTATGTGTGTTTCATAATTCGAGCATAAAATGAACATCAGTCCTGATGATTGTATAACAAAGAAAACTTGTAGGATAAAAATTTTGCCAATACATTGCGCAGACGTCATGCCGATGATAAAT